CAGAGCCTGGGTCCTGAGCTGGCTGTCACGCTACTACTGGCTGTGCTCACGGAGCACAAGCTGCTGGTCCACTCACTGCGGCCAGACCTGCTCACCAGCGTCTGTGAGGCCCTCGTCTCGGTGAGTGCCACCCTGCCCAGCCCACCTGCCCTAGAACTACTGTTCCTTCTGGTGCTACCCTCATCCCTGCCTTGACTCTTCCCTTGGGGAAGGTCCTCAGCCTTTCTCTCTGCGCACAGCCTACAGGGACACACAGCTTCCATCAGGGGCTCTTCTTTGGAGCTTACCTCTAACAGCCTCTCTCAGCAGGCACCACCTTCCCAAGGCCAATGTCCCTCTCCTGTGCCCCCTACTGCCACCCCAAACCCCTGCTCACTGGTTCTCACGCCCTGGTGCTTCAGATGATCTTCCCACTGCACTGGCAGTGCCCCTACATTCCGCTGTGCCCACTGGTGCTGGCAGACGTGCTGAGCGCCCCTGTGCCCTTCATTGTGGGTATCCACTCCAGTTACTTCGATCTGCATGACCCGCCTGCTGATGTCATCTGTGTTGATCTTGATACCAACACGCTCTTCCAGTAAGAGGCCGAGACTCACGTGGGGCTGCAGGGAGGTGGGTGTGAAAGGGCTGGTGTGTGGAGTGCTTTGGACAAAAAGTGGAGGCAGGTGAGGAACCCCATCACCCCTCTCCTTATGCTTATCTCGCAGGACTGAGGAAAAGAAGCTCCTCTCCCCTCGGACCCTGCCCCGCAGACCCTACAAGGTTCTGTTGGCCACACTGACAAACCTGTACCAGCAGCTGGACCAGAGTGAGAAGCCTGGGTGGGGTGGGAGCGTGGGGGCTGCCAGTTTGGGGAGGCCTGTGGGAAGGTAGACCTTCCTCAAGGAGGTGAGAGGATTTAGGATTTCATGTGGTGGAAAGTGAGGGGGATTCAAATTCCAGCCGAAGCTAGACAAGGGGCAGTCTTCTTGAACACATTGGGAATGTTGAGCTTATCACTGGGGACGCTAGAAGCCTTTAGCTGAAGGTAATGTTTCAGTTGCTACTGGTGCAAAGTCTGTCAGAGGCTGGAGTTGGCAGTGGTGAGAGCCTGTGTGAAGTGAAGGGTCGAGGCATGCACCCTGGGAGCCAGCCCTGACCCTGTGTCCATGCTGGCCCCCAGCATATACTGGACCCGAGGAGGAGGCATCCCTGGAATTCCTGCTGACAGACTACGAGGCAGTGTGTGGCCGCCGGGCCCGGCTGGAGCGGGAAGTCCAGGGAGCCTTTCTCCGCTTCATGGCCTGTCTGCTCAAGGGCTACCGGGTCTTCCTTCGTCCACTCACCCAGGCCCCCTCTGAGGGGGCTCGTGATGTTGACAACCTTTTCTTCCTGCAGGGTAAAGAGGGCCCGTCTTTGCCTGGATGTGGTATCATGGGAGGAAATGGCCAGGGGCTGGGCTCCATGAGGAAGGAGGGGGAACTGGGAGCCACTCAGTTGCTTATTCCTTCACTCAGCAAGTGTTTTTGTGGGCACCTGCTTTGACCCGCTCACTCTGGTGGTCTTGGAGGGAGTAAGGGGAAGAGGATGAACCAGCTATGGCCCTACGCTCTGGGAACTCTCAGCTTGGAGTGGACACAGTGGTCCCTGTGGAGAGAAGCCCCCATGGGCAAAGCTGTATTCAGGGACCCTGCCCTTAGAAAACTCCAATCTGAGGCAATGGGTACAGACAGACAAAAGGGAGGGATTATGTGGGACCACATGCTGGGGAAGCTGAACTGGTCAGCTTGATATGTGGGGCAGTTGTACCAGAGGAGCAAAGAGATGATGGCTTTGCTGACCTTAGTCCTGAGTGGGCAGGGAGCCAGGAAGGGGTTCAGGAAGGGTATGGCTGTGGTGGGGGTGGGAAGCCCTGGTAACCTCCCTCCTATGCCCCACTCTCATCCCCCTCAGGCTTCCTCAAATCCCGGGAACGCTCCAGCCACAAACTGTACTCTCAGCTGCTGCACACACAGATGTTCTCACAGTTCATCGAGGAATGCTCTTTTGGCTCTGCTCGGCACGCTGCCCTCGAATTCTTTGACTCTTGTGTTGACAAGGTATTGGCATTATCCCTTCTCCATGTGCCCACTGGCCTCTGCTCTCCTCCTGGTTGTCTCTGTTGCCCCAGGGCCATTGTTTATATCTTAACCATGACTGGGATGGCACCCCTGGAGTTATACAGTGCACAGCCTGTGCAGCCATACATGGCTGACTTCATATACTTACTAGCTTACTACCCTCCCTTTCTGATTCCATGCCCTGCAGGCTGCATCTTTAGGGCTCCTTCCATATGGATGTGCTTTCCTGGGAGATGCCATCTTCCTGGACACCCTGGCCCTGTTCCATGCCCACTGTATTAACATTCACAATCCTGGCACAGGTCCACCCAGAGCAGGAGAAGCCTGAGTTGACACCCTTAGTGGAGCTGGAGGAGCTGTCGGGAAGTGAACTCACTGTCTTCATCACGCCTCCTGAGGAGCCTCCGGTACCAGAGGGCAGTGAACCCACTCCCCAGTACTGGTGAGAGTCTCTTGCCTCCTCACTTGTCTCCAAAGGCTGGTCTAGTGCAGCTTGTGATGTTGCTTCTCCCTACCCGTCCAGCTATGATGGGTTCCCAGAGCTACGGGCTGAGCTGTTTGAGTCTCTTCAAGAGCAACCTGGGGCCCTGCCTGTGCCGGGTCCATCCCGTAGCGCCCCCAGCAGTCCTGCTCCTCGCCGTACAAAACAGGTAACTGGTGGGTGGACGCCATCAAGGGACTTGGCTCAGGCCAATGGCTGCTGCTTCAGTTTCCTCATCTATAAAATGGGGATAAATAATAGTACTTACCCCATAAGGTTGTTAGGAAGTTTAAATGTGCCTGGCACATAAAAACCACTGTATAAACATTAGCTGTTGTTACCATCGTCTTCACCATTGTCATATCGCCATCATCATCTTCTGAGTGCTCTAGGAATCCAGGGGCTGGCACCTGCCCATGCTTATGGCAGGGCTGCAGCCTGTGGAGTACAGTATCCTTCCTGCCTCCTCAGAGCACAGACCCTTCCTTAGGGAAGGTGCTGCTCTCCCCCACACCATTTTAAGACCTGCTGTGGCATTGTACTCATCCTGGTGTGTCCCCTCTCCCACCTAGGAGATGAAGGTTGCACAGCGGATGGCACAGAAGTCAGCAGCTGTGCCTGAGCTGTGGGCCCGGTGCCTGCTGGGGCACTGTTATGGGCTATGGTTCCTGTGTCTACCTGCCTATGTGCGGTCGGCACCCTCCCGCGTGCAGGCACTGCACACGGCCTACCACGTGCTGCGCCAGATGGAGAGCTGCAAGGTGGTGCTCCCTGATGAGGTAAGCCGCCATGGGCTATGTGGCTACGCCCACCCCCATCCCAGCGAGGCTTGTGTGGCCATGGGGGCTGTGACAGAGAAACTTGGTGGAGACCAGGGAAAGCAGATGGGGAGCCCCAGAGCTGGGCAGATGCTCCATAAACATGCACCGAGTGAATAAGCACGTTCAGGGTATGGCAGTGGAGACTACAGGGGGACAGGGTCAGCAGGAAGACCGAGTGGCTTTGAGGCAGCCCCAGGACCTGGCAGGGGCCAGTGAAGTCTGTGAGGATTGGGAGGCTAGAAGAGGGTGCTTGCTGAGACTTGATGATTTTGGTTGGGAGTCTCCTGTCATCCTGTGCCTCTCTTGGCCCAGGTGTGTTACCGGGTGCTGATGCAGCTCTGCTCACACTATGGGCAGCCTGTGCTGTCTGTGCGTGTCATGCTGGAGATGCGGCAGGCAGGCATCGTGCCCAACACCATCACTTATGGCTACTACAACAAGGTACCTGATTTGGGGTGAGGGGTGGGATGGCAGCCTGTGCCGGGGTGTGTATGGGGAGGATGCTGCTCCTTAACACCTGTTGCTCTCCTCAGTCCTCGGAGATTGGGCCTGTACAATTCAACTAGGCCCTATAACCATTGTCATCCACTGTGCTCCTATGGTGCCTTAGCATCTACAATTTTCTCATATTTGGCTCCTTTGATTCTCACTCATAACTGGCCTGTTTATAGCTAATAGTTTTAGCCAATATGTTAGGCACTGTTCCAAATATATTATACATTTTAATTTTCTTTTCTTTTTTTTTAATGTATTTTACCTAGCAAGAGAGTTAGTTTTCAGATACAGTATATTATACATTTTAAATCATTTTATCTTCATAACAGCCCTATCAGGCAGAATAATTATTATCCCCATCTTATAGATGAAATGAAGTCACAGGACATTAGTAACTGTCCAAGATCCCATAGTGAATAGTTAGGAAGTTAGAATATGAGCACAGGCATACTCATGTCTCCTGAACTCAGGCTCTTAACCATGATCCTAAACGGCCTCCTTTTTCGGGGGCAGGGAGAGAGACAGGGTCTTGCTCTGTCCCCCAAGCTGGAGTGCAGTGGCACGGTCATAGCTCACTATAGCCTTGAACTGCTAGGTGCAGGCATTCCTCCCATCTCAGCTTCCTAGTAGCTGGGACCGCAGGCATGAGCCACCACACTTGGCTTCCCTCCTGTTTTTTTGATGATGAAACTAATAACCAAAAAAATGAAATAATTTCTTCAAATCCATATAATTTATAAGTAGAAGATTCTGGATACAAATTTTCTTCATTGCTTCTGGCTTCTCTTAGGCCCCTTTGGAGGCAGCTACTGCCAGCTACCTCTTTGGGCTCTTGTTCCTGGCTGAGCCTTTGGCAGGATAGTCCTAGCCAGGATGTCTGGAGGGGAAGGTGGTTCCTGGGGCTCCAGGACAGGAAGTGGGCATCAGCTGGGGTCAGGGTGCAGAAGTAGACCATCCTGATTGGCACTGTGCTTGTTAGGCTGTGCTGGAAAGCAAGTGGCCGTCTGGCACACCAGGTGGGCGCCTGCGCTGGGCTAAGCTTCGGAATGTGGTCCTGGGGGCTGCTCAGTTCCGCCAGCCCTTGAGAGAACGGCAGCAGCAGCAGCAGCAGCAGCGGCAGCAGCAGGAGGAGGTATCAGCACATCAGGAGGCAGGCAGCTCCCAGACAGGTGGGTAGGACTGGTGAGACAGGCTTGAGGATGGAATAGCCAGGCTTAGCAGGGAGAGGTATGGAGAGCTGGGGCTGGCCTAGTGGTTGCCATTGGGTTTTGGGGATTGACAAACTACACTTGGCTGGTAACACAAGGGATAAAGTTCTGCCTGGGGGGAATCCTGCAAACCCAGGTCCATCCAAGCTCTGCTTTGGAATAGGGGTCTGGGTTTCCATCTGGCTGCCCCTAAACCCCTTCTCTGTCTTTTACAGAATCCTATCTGGAGCGCCCCTCTCCCAGCCGCCCCCTTCAGCGCCAGACAACTTGGGCTGGGCAAAGTCTGCGGGACCCAGCCTCACCCACTGGGCGCCTGGTGAAGAGTGGCAGCCTGGGCAGTGCCCGAGGGGCACAGCCCACTGTAGAGGCTGGTGTGGCCCACAGTGAGTGCCCTGGTCTGATCCCCACCCGCAGGCAGCTTTCCTAACCACTTGCCAGTAAGAGCCAGGGTGGAGGGGTGGCCCTCTGTGGTAGTATGTATTGTAGACTCTGAGGGTAGCTTGCCCAGAATGTTCTCATGGTAGGGGTTGTGGTGCCAGAGTTTGTGTATCCAGGAATTGTGTTTATTCTGGAAAGGGGTAGCTGGGGGAGGGGCTGGGCTACATCTTCCTTGATTCTTTTCTCTCCTGCAGTGATAGAGGCCTTGGGGGTCCTAGAACCCCGGGAATCACCTGTGCCCTGGCACGATGGAAGTCTCTCAGACCTAAGCCTGACCGGGGAGGAGCCAGCATCTGGAGGCAGCCCAGGGGGCTCAGGCTTGGCCCTGAGTGCCCAGTCCACTGAGGCCCTAGAAGGGCTAAGTGGGCGGGGGCCCAAGGCTGGTGGGCGTCAGGATGAGGCAGGCACTCCCCGACGAGGGCTGGGCGCCCGCCTCCAACAACTGCTCACTCCTTCTCGGCGCTCTCTTGCCTCCCGCATTCCCCCACCTGAGCTGCCCCCTGACCTGCCGCCCCCAGCCCGCCGCAGCCCCATGGACAGCCTTTTGCGTCCCCGGGAGCGCCCTGGATCCACTGCTTCTGAGGTAGCCAGCTAGTGGAGGGTCCAGATGCCTTAGCATCATCGGGAGTCCTGGGAGGAGCTGCTAACCGGGAGAATGCCCCAAAATGGGCCCCCCTGAGGGGTAGTTGAAACAAGCACCCTAGGTGGAGGAGCTTGAGGTTGGCTGACTATGCTTTTCCATGTAATGGCAGAGCTCGGCCTCTCTGGGCAGTGAGTGGGACCTCTCGGAATCTTCTCTCAGCAGCCTGAGCCTTCGCCGTTCCTCAGAGCGCCTCAGTGACACCCCTGGATCCTTCCAGTCACCTTCCCTGGAAGTAAGGATCACTCCTCCCAATACACGTGCTTGAACACACACACACTACACAGTCACTCCGTCAAAGGCAGGGCTGGGAGGGAGGTGGGAGGGGCTGGGGAAGGAACATGGACTCCAGAGTGCCAGAGTTCAGATGGCCTACTTCCTGGGGTCTCCCTGCCTGCAGATTCTGCTGTCCAGCTGCTCCCTGTGCCGTGCCTGTGATTCGCTGGTGTATGATGAGGAAATCATGGCTGGCTGGGCACCTGATGACTCTAACCTCAACACAACCTGCCCCTTCTGCGCCTGCCCCTTTGTGCCCCTGCTCAGTGTCCAGACCCTTGATTCCCGGCCCAGGTGCCCAAAGCAGGGCAAGTACTGCGGGTGGGACAGGGAGGTGGAGGTCCTAGAGCTGACCCATCCTGCTATCCCCCTGCAGTGCCCCCAGCCCCGCCCCTGCTGGTGCCAGTGGCAGCAAAGATGCTCCTGTCCCTGGGGGTCCTGGCCCCGTGCTCAGTGACCGCAGGCTCTGCCTTGCTCTGGATGAGCCCCAGCTCTGCAATGGGCACGTAGGGGTAAGGGCTGGGCCAAAGAGGCATGAGGAATGGGAGTGTGTTGCCCTGTGTGGGGACTTGAGGGGTGCCAAGGAGAGATGGGGCCTTGAGGGCAAGGGACATCCCAGAAGCTGTTGGACATGTGGCTCAGTGGGAGGCAAGGCTATTGGATGGGGCCATGGTACATGCCCTCTACTGCCTTTCCCCTTTGTGTGTGACAGGGTGCCTCCCGCCGGGTTGAAAGTGGGGCATGGGCGTACCTGAGCCCCCTGGTGCTGCGCAAGGAACTGGAGTCGCTGGTAGAGAATGAGGGCAGTGAGGTGCTGGCATTGCCCGAGCTGCCTGCTGCCCACCCCATCATCTTCTGGAACCTTCTGTGGTATTTCCAACGGCTGCGCCTGCCCAGTATTCTACCAGGCCTGGTGCTGGCCTCCTGTGATGGGCCCCCGCTCCCCCAGGTCAGTGCCCTTGTGTGGTACCTGCTTCCTAAATGCCTTCCGCACATCTCTCAGCTCTTTGTCCCCTTAGTGCTTTGTGTCCTTGGCGCTGTAGAAACAGCACAGGCTATGGACTCTGTTATACCTGGTTTGACTCCTGGCCCCTTCACTTTACAATTCTGATCCTCAATTTTGTCATCCATAAAATGCCACAAGCATCTACCTCACAGGGCTGATTTTTAGACACTTTGTGTAATGCCTAGTACCTAGAAAATGATTCATTAATATTTGTCTTTACATTCCATCAATATTTATTGAGCACTTTTTAGATCCTAGACACAGTTTTTAGGAACTAGGGATGTAGCAGATTACAAAACATAGTCCTTGCTCTCAAGAGCGTGCATTCTTGTCGGGGATGAGAGTTCTTTCCCTCTTCTCTTTGGCTATGTCCTGTAATGTCCCTCTGTGTCTTTGGACATTGCCTGTCCATTTCTTATCCTCTTCCTCCCATTCCATGAGCCTAACCATCTCCCCTATCTTGGCTCCCCCAGGCCCCATCTCCTTGGCTAACCCCTGATCCAGCATCTGTGCAGGTACGACTGCTGTGGGATGTATTGACCCCTGACCCCAATAGCTGCCCACCTCTCTATGTGCTCTGGAGGGTCCACAGTGAGTCTGGTATTTGGTCTAGGGTTGGGGGAGGGGTCCCATGCCCAGAGGGCTCAGTGATCCTGGCGACCTTCCTTCTTTCTTCCAGGCCAAATCCCTCAGCGGGTGGTATGGCCAGGCCCAGTACCTGCGTCCCTTAGTTTGGCTTTGTTGGAGTCAGTGCTGCGCCATGTTGGACTCAATGAAGTGCATAAGGCTGTGGGGCTCCTGCTGGAAACTCTAGGGCCCCCTCCCACTGGCCTGCACCTGCAGAGGTATGATGCTCCCATCTGGGTGGTCCCTGGCCTGTCCAGGGCTCTGCATTCCTTTTCTCTCACTCATACCCTTCTGCCTCCACTACAGGGGCATCTACCGTGAGATCTTATTCCTGACAATGGCTGCTCTGGGCAAGGACCACGTGGACATAGGTGAGGGAGCAGGCAGGGTGCTGCGGAATTTAGGGACCTAGGGCCAGATGTGGGAGGCAGGGGTCCTAATGCATTGACTTCCACCGTCTTCTCTAGTGGCCTTCGATAAGAAGTACAAGACCGCCTTTAACAAGCTGGCCAGCAGCATGGGCAAGGAGGAGCTGAGGCAGCGGCGGGCACAGATGCCCACTCCCAAGGCCATTGACTGCCGAAAATGTTTTGGAGCACCTCCAGAATGCTAGAGACCCTCAAGCTTCTCTCTCCAGCCTCGGTTGGGGAGGTGAGGAAGAAGGATTCTAGAGATAAACTGCTTCCCTATTCCCTTCAAAGAAGAGTTGGGAACAGGCTGGGAAGCCTGCCCAGTCAAAGGCTCCAAGCAGGGGCAGCAGGAAGAAGGACCTACTGTTACCAAACGTCACCATTCCCCTATCTCCACCCTGCCCAATTTACTCACGCTGATGATAGGGGAGGCCTGGGGGAGTTGGTACAGCTGATCCTCCCTTGTCCTATACCAGGAGCTCCCCTCCAGGGTACCCACAGATCTACACTGCCCTGGTCATTTTAGAAGTTTTTGTTTTAAAAAACAACTGGAAAGATACAGAGCTACTGAGCCTTTGCCCTCAATGGGAAGGAGGGATGTCATTCCCCACCAATGATGGTCCCTCTTCCCTGGCATTGCTGAAGGAGCCCCAGGCTCTCCATGCCTTTCTACCTTAGTGTTTATAGTTTAAGTTATTTATTCTGGAGCCATGGCCCCCTTGCTTAGGAGGTTCTTATGGAGAGTAAGGAAGAAAAGGGAAATGGGGCACCATGGTCCAATGATTTGTAGCTCCTTGAAAGTCAGGCACTGGGAGCTAGAGGGGTCCCAAGCTCCTCTTAGGAAGAACTGGTGCCCCCTCCAGTCCTAATCCTTGTCCACTCCACCTTGGGGAATGCCTCACCCACCCAGGCCCTGACCTGTGCAATAAGGATTGTTCCCTGCCAATTTTTGTTGGATGTAAATATAGTAAAAGCTGCTTCTGTCTTTTTCCTTCTGCCTCCTGTTCCCTGGGTCTGGGATAATGGTGGAGGATACCTCTTATTTTCCCCTGACTGCACACAATCCTTTCCATCCTTTGCAGGCTTCAGGCATACCCTGCTTTCCCTGACCATGTCTGGTACTGGCCACTTGAGGCACAGGGAGTTCTTGGAGCAGGAGAAGAGTGAATCTGATGCTGGCTATGGTGGTGCCAGTCTGTGTGGCACTTCCGGCCCTCCCACACAATCACCCCCTTGTCCCTCATCTGTACCCCACACAAAGACTCCATTCTTTGGGGGCCCTGAGCTCATCTCTGCCTTATTTCCTCTCCTCTATTCCCCCTCCCCCCGAACTTCTCTAGTACCTCCACAGGGATGATAACTCTTTCCCCAGGAGTTGGTGTTGGCGGCCCTCATGCATCCTGGGCCCTGGCCATCATCCTAGGCCCCATTGCTCAAGCTGCAGGCAGTACTCCTCCAACCAGGGTCTCAGCCTGGGGACAGCACCAGGAAGACAGGGGCAAAGATTAAGGGGCTCACTGCATCTGGACATCAGGAAGACAAGCATCATTTTTCTAATCCCTTTGGCCCACTCTGAGTTCTGTATAATGAAATAAACACAGGAAACAACTCCTAACAGAGCTGCAAAACCAATTACCAAAGAGAATTAGCCATCAAAACAGAAATGCCTTGGGGAAGAAGGGCAGGAATATCAATGGAGGAAATAACTGACAGGAGCCTGTAGTGTAAATTTCTCAGGGGTGGACATCAGTAGATGAGGAGAGAGGTACTACTTCTACATGCTGGGACCTTTAAGCAAGAGGACCCTTCCCCATCCTGTCTTGAGAATATTAGGATGTTTTTTCAGCGTCCTAAAGAAGCCGCACAGGAGAGAACGAAGGGGTTTAGGAAACGCCATCTGTCTTGCTAGGACATGCTCTCTTTAGAGGGAAACTGTCATGTCACCCTAGTTTCTTTTTTTGAGATGGAGTCTTGCTCTGTCACTTGGGCTAGAGTGCCGTGGTGTCAGTCTAGCTCACAGCAAACTCAAACTCCTGGGCTTAAGCGATTCTCTTGCCTCAGCCTCCTGAGTAGCTGAGATTATAGGCACATGCCATCATGCCCAGCTAATTTTCTAGTTTTAGTAGAGACAGGGTCTTGTTCTTGCTCAGGCTGATCTCGAATTCCTGACCTCAAGTGATCCTCCCACCTTGGCCTCCCAGAGTGCTAGGATTACAGGTGTGAGCCACCCCAACCACCTCACCCTAGTTTCTGATAAGACCCTAGTCCGAAAAATTATCCTCTCCCTGTTTCGTCCCCAAAGACCTTTTGTAAGGAAGGACCTGCCCTTTTAATACCTTGAGTTTCTGTTGAGTATAGTGTGCTCAGTACTGCACTGAACTAGAGAGAGAGAATTTTAGGGCTCAGTCCCTACCCTAATAGAGCATACAATCTTACTGATCTGGAGTGCCTGCTGGTTCACAGACAGTAATGATAATCAACTCTTTCCCAGCTTATTCTTCTCATTTTTAGGCTTCCTTCTAGACATGCAGTCAGATGTGAGAACTACAGAATTCTTTAACCACAAAAACATCTGGGAATTCCAATAGTAAAGTACTTACCATGACATCTAACATCTGTTTGTCCTGGTGTCTAAGGAGCTGTATGTGGAGAAGGATGCGCCCAACTTACTTGGCCCAATCTCTCTTCCCAGAATTTATAAAGTGTATAGGTTCAAGTATAGCAAAATTGAGGCAAATCTTGTCTCTGCCACTTACTAATTTTATGAAGTCAGACAAGTTACTTAGCTGCTGTGCCTCAGTTTTTCCTCATCTGCAAATTGTGGGTCTTTGAAAGGTTAATTATACAATCCACGGGAAGAGCTAAACACACTCAATGTTAGCTTCAAAAAGGAAAAGGAAACAGGTAAAGCCTGCATACGGCAAACGTTATGTCCTCACTTACCTGTCTTCCTTAAAGCTTGAGCACTCCAGATTGAAAGTCCCCCTCCATGGCCTGATTTTGATTTTGTTGAAAGGTTTTTTTCTCAGACCTTGTTGGTATCTTCCTCTACCATGGTTTTCATGTTTCCTCAAAGCCCTTGAAGGATGGACTTTCAGACAGCATAGAATGCATTGAACTGATAATGGACAAAGCAGTAGGTTAGGGAAAGAGGGATGTATACTCCATGAGGGCAACGACTGTCTCACTGCTATATCCCTAGCACACAGAGTGCAAATGCCCAATAACTTAATAGGTGCTCTATCATGTATGTTCAGTGACTGAGTCAGTGAAAGGATTAAAATGATGGAGTTAGGCTGGACGCAGTGGCTCATGTCTGTAATCCTAGCACTTGGGGAGGCCGAGGCAGGCGGATCACTCAAGGTCAGGAGTTCGAAATCAGCCTGAGCAAGAGTGAGATCCCGTCTCTACTAAAAATAGAAAGAAAGTAATCAGCCAACTAAAAATATGTAGAGAAAAATTAGCCGGGCATGGTGGCACATACCTGTAGTCCCAGCTACTCGGGAGGCTGAGGCAGGAGGATTGCTTGAGCCCAGGAGTTTGAGGTTGCTATGAGCTAGGCTCATGCCAAGGCACTCTAGCCTGGGCAACAGAGTGAGACTCTGACTAAAACCAAAAGAAAAAAAAGATGGAGTTAGTAGAGAAATAATTTTCAGTGCAGTATGAGACAGGTACCACAGGTAGAATACTGATAGAAGTTGAATTTAGAGCTAAGAGTTTGAAGTTGTTGAAAAAGCAAGAAAAATTCCTTAGTTATTATTTATCATGTTGAGTACTCACTATATTGTTGGCACTGACCTGAGCATTTTATTTTATTTTATTTTTTTTGAGACAGAGTCTCACTTTGTTGCTCAGGCTAGAGTAAGTGCCGTGGCGTCAGCCTAGCTCACAGCAACCTCAAACTCTTGGGCTCAAGTGATCCTCCTGACTGGGCCTCCCAGAGTGCTAGGATTACAGGCACGTGCCATCACGCCATCACGCCTGGGCGACCCGTAGCATTTGAAATGTGCTGTTTTATAATCCTGACAATCACCTTATCCACTGTCTTTTTACAGATGGGGAAACTAGAGCATAGAAAATAGAGGATAAGTAACTTACACCCAAGTCACACAACTGATAAGAGGTAGAGCTAAGATCCAAACTCAGGCAGTGTGACTCTAGAGACTAGGGTCTTTACCTGGACATTAGTATGTATGGAAATAGGTTTTATAATCCACTTTTTTTTTTTTTTTTTTTGAGACAGAGTCTCTCTCTGTTGCCCAGGCTACCATGAGTGCAGTGGCATCAGCCTAGCTCATAGCAACCTCAGACTCCTGGGCTCAAGCGATCCTCCTGCCTCAGCCTCCCAAGTAGCTGGGACTACAGGCATGCACCACCATTCCTGGCTAATTTTTTCTATATATTTTTAGTTGGCCAATTAATTTCTTTCTATTTATAGTAGAGACGGGGTCTCGCTCTTGCTCAGGCTGGTTTTGAACTCCTGACCTTGAGCAATCCGCCCGCCTCGGCCTCCCAAGAGCTAGGATTACAGGCGTGAGCCACAGCGCCCGGCCTATAATCCACTTTAAATAAGAATTGGACACTGGGCTTGGTGGTACATGCCTGTAGTCCCAGATATTCTGGAGGCTGAGGCTGGAGGATTGTTTGAGCCAAGGAGTTTGAGGGCAGCCTGGGCAACTTAGCAAGACCCCATTTCTAATATAAAAAATAAATTGGAGCATACCTCTGTGTGTGTGTGTTCAGGCATGTTCGAATGCCTCTGGAACCAGTTATTTCTGGGTTAAAATCAGTGTTTGGTTACTAGAGCTGTTTGGCCTTTGGTAAGTTACTTAACCTCTCTGAGCCTATTTCCTGATCTACCTCCATTCAAATTTCAGCTCTGCCATTTAACATGTGTAATTTTGGACATGTCATTTGATCTGTACCTCATTTTTCTCATCTGTAAAATAAGGATAACAGTACCTACCTCAGAGTTTATGAGCAATAAATAAGATAATCCATGTAAACACAGTGCCTGGCACAGTCTCTTTCCCAAAACTATTATTATTCCTTAACAAACTGACTGTCATACCTGCTCCCCCCTATCCTCAAAGTGCTCAAGTGAGTTTAGGTGGGTCTAACTGCTTAGGGAAGCTAGTAAGAGGAGCTAGGCCTCGAGTAGATTAGGTGGAATCGGGTGGGGTGGGAGGATGTTTCCTCACTGTGAACGTAACCAGACCAAGAAAGCCCAAGAGAAGAAGCTGCCAGGGCTCTGCACACCGTAATTCCTCAGTAATTTGGCTAGCTGCCTTTTTTCTGCGGTTGTGGTTCAGTCACGACAGGACCAAGTAGAGGTAAGAACACCAGGAAGCTCAAGGCCTCTGGCACACGGAGGCAAGCCACGCCCCGAAAGACAGCAAGGCCCAAGGGCCTAAAGCTAGTTCTATCGTGAAATTCCTGGATTTTGTCTCGATGAAATACCGCCCAACGCAGACCCCAGCTCCGCTCGCTAGCCTCCATCTTTAGAATTGAAAGAGTAAGAGCGGCCCAAAGGGGAATCCCGATTTTGGGAGCCTGGGGTACGGCGGCTGCCTGGGGACCAAAACGTCTCTAAGGTAAAGTTGCAGCCCGAAGCGATTTTTTGACCCCCGACACTTAATGGGCTGTCGAAGACCCGGATGTGTCTGGGACTGGCCGAGGTACCCATTAACGCGCCCCCGCTAAACCATCCCCCCTCCTCCTTTTATGATTGGTGTTTTAGCATGCCAATCATCACTTCTCTAGCCACTCACTCTTCAAAGGTGGGGTGAAGTCCCGGCATCCTGTCTTCTATTGGTATGGCCGAGAAGAAGAGGGCGGGGTGGCCGGCTTAGGCCGCCCAATGGGCGTCGTGGCGTGTGGGTAAGGCGGAGCCGAGGCGCTTGGCAGCTGCCCAATCAGCGTCCTTGTTTGTGTGGTGCCGCCGCCGCCGGTGCAGCCGCCGCCGCCGCCGCTGCCCCCGTCTGTACCGCAGTGTCTGCTCCGCCCGCCCGCCCCGGTCCGGCCCGCCCCCCTCCCCCACCCCCGCCCCTGGTCCCTTCAACGGGGTCCGGAGCCCACTGTGCCGTCGCCTCTTCCTTTTTCGACGCCTCCGCCGCCGCTTGAGGAGGCGAGCTAGCCGGGAGTTACACCGCCACCGCCAGGTGAGGAGCTTTGGCCTAGGCCAGTCTGGCCGCCCGCCCGCCCGGGGGCGGTGAGGAGCGAGGAAGGGAGGGTGGCTGGGAGGAGGCGGTGGCGGCGGAGGTGGGGGAAGGGAAAGGTGGAGGGGCGGGGGGAGGGGAAGCGCCCGCGAGCCGACGCCCGCCCGCGCGCCCCCGCCTTGCGTCCCCCTCCCCCCACCCGGCACCGCGCGCCCCCGCCTCGCGCTCCCCCTTCACCTCATCCCCTCCCCCCCTCCGCGCGCGCGCCCCGGTCTTTCACTTCGGCCTCGCGCGCCCCCATCTCGTGTCCCTTCATTTCTTCTCGTTTTACTCTTTCTCCCCTCCCTCACGCCCCGTTTCCCCGCCATCCCCGCTTTCACTCACTGCCTCATGCCCGCCATGCTCCCGTCCTTTCCTCTCTAGCGCGCCCCCCCTTTTTTAACTCTCTCCACCCCCAGTGGTGCCCTCGGGGTGCGGGGGCCGCTCCCTGCTCTCTGTCTTGTGTTTTCCGGTGGATGGGACAAATGGGGGATCCTTAAAGGGTGAAGGAAGCTCGGGATAATTACCTTTATTTATGGAAAAGCATCAGGAGCGCAGAACCTTACCCCTTTATTTTTCGTCCACGGTTCCCTCGCTCTCCTGTAGAAGGGAATTGTCTCATCCTGCATGTGGGTACTTATCTTCTATAGAGAATAAATCATCTCTTTTCTCAGCTGGTCTTCTGGCGCACACTGGATTTGTCTTTTAGTTAAGTGCCTGAGGGTCAATAGAACTTACCCTTCCCTAACCAAACCGGGACTTAAGAGTACTTTTGGCCTCCCTGTTCTCAATTACGCTGAGGAGCTAGCCACTCCTGCGAGTGCAGAGGTTTAGGTGCCATTCGTGGGCCCGGGACAGCTTTCCCCCTTCATAAAGGTATGGTATCCTCTTTGGATTCTTCCCCAGCATCAACTTCTTGCAAACACAAGATGTTAGTCCATAGGGCTGGCGCTGAGGTGGAGATGGAGGCTGTAATGGTGGGTGGCATGTGGATGCTAACTGAGCTGGGTATCAACCTTTTCCTCCGCTGTCCTCTGGAGAATCAGATATCCTCTTGAGAACCGTTTTCTTGTTTCTGATAAATGATTATTTGGAGGGTGTGTTTGTGAGAGAGAGGTGGGGGTACTTAATATATTTCAGCAAAGGGAAAGAGTAATGTTTTCGGACCAGACTATAAAAAGGGATTTGTACTTGTAGCTGGAGTAAAAGCAGGTTTAACGGGTCTGTGTTGGAGATGCTTTTGTAGTTTTTAGGACATTTTCTTTTCTAAAAATGTATATTTTAAATAGACAGTGCACACATGAGATACAAAGTAAAAAGAAAGCTTCCCTCCCACTTCTGTCCTCCAGCCATCCAGTCTTTCTAGTGCCTATGACTTAGATGTTTTCTGGCAGCAGCCTGGTGTCTATAGGTTGTTGGAGATTAACTTGCTTGGGAGTTTAGTGCTAACTTTATTGCACTTTTTGGATATGCTGATTCAAACTCTTCTTTGAAGTCTGACAATCACTGGGATTCATATAATTTATGTTGCAGCAGTCTTGATATAATATTGTCATAGAGTAGCATTTCTGTCAGTACTTGGGTAGGGTGGAGGCTACTTCTGGAGGTGCTATGGAGGGATTCAATATATTTTGAGGGAAAGCCCCACCTGTTGGAAATGGTGCTGCTTTTTTGGTGACAGATTTCTAGTCCCTGGCTGTTGGGGGATGATCTGGGTCAAGGATAGGCTTTCCTTGGACTCTTTAAGCAGATAGGTTGTATGAGTAGTTAATGGGAGTACTAATCTGGTAGGACTGTCTTCAGTTTTTAGAGGAATATAGTTTTTAGTTTAGTGGCAGTGATAGTCATCATGGAACAAGGTAGATAAGTATTAATCATTGGGAATCATAAGGCTGGACCTGTAGGCTGAGTGACCCAATTTGAGAGAAGGTGAGGCTTTATAGACTTTTGTCCTGCCTATTATTTCTTTCTTGAACACTCTCCATGAGGTGAGAGTGATTTGTAGTTGACAGCAGCATCCATCTTTATGACACTGTGGTTTGCCTCCCTGGACTGTATGATGTCTGTTAACTTCCTGTTTAGAGGCAGTCCAAATAGGGTTACTAAATAGAGGCTGCATTCAAATACTTGTCTGGGAACAATGTTAACCAGGTTCCCTGATCAGCACTTTAAATCTAAGTTCTGAGTGTAACGTTTACTGCTGTGTTTAGCATAGGGCCACAGGGTGGTGAGAGAGGGAGGTGTGAGGAGTTTGTCCTGAATGTCACAGCCTTTAAATACTTTTCAGAAGCCTGTATGCTGTCCCCCACTTTTTGGGGGGTTCTCTCCACCCTGCTCCCCCTTTTTCTTTTTGGCCAGCTGGGCCAGGCTGGACCTCTACGTTAGGTTTTGGTTAGAGAACAGCAAGGTGGAAGAGATGTCAGTATGTCAATAAAGGTATCTTTTTTTTTTTTTTTAATCTTCCCTCCAGGAGACAAGTTCTCTTTTGCCAGGGTTAGATAGACTATAGTGGTGTCATCATAGCTCGCTGCAACCTCCAATGCCTGGGTTCAAGTGACCCCCCCTGCCTCAGCTTCCTGAGTAGCTGGGACTATAGGCATGTGCTATCCATGCCCAGCTAATTTTTTTATTTTTTGTAGAGATGGGGTCTCCCTATGTTGCTCAGCCTGGTCTCAAACTCCTGGCTTCAAGTGATCCTCCTGCCTCAGCCTCCCAAAGTGCTAGGATTAGAGGTATGAGCCAATATACCAAGCCCAATAAAGATATCTTAATCATATACTGGGACCTCTGGATTCATCCTAACTTTAAGTAGTGAGTCTTGTATGTTATATGTAAAGCAAACCTCTTATTTCCATTTACTGATCCTTCCTTTCCCCCTCTACCCACCAAGCTGGAGGTGCATATGTAGGAAAACAGTAGCTGTGCTGTCCTGGTTTCTGGACTCTGGAGCATATTCCATGTTAGCCACCCCATTGGGAGTCATGCTGACAAGCAGCTCCTTCCTCTGCACTTAACTCAGAAGGCTCAGGTTGGTTAGCTCATTGAGAAAAGCCAAACCAGCTTTGATTGTTAAAACAACTGCCAGAGAACTTGTAAAATTTGAGCAGTAAGTGGGACTGAGGGACTTTCTTTTTCTGATCTTTGCAGTACTTAAAGCCCTGCATCGTTACATATCAAGGCACAACAGCCAGGCATTTTCTGAGGTAGTTTGAAAGGAAAGGAAAAAATAGTAAAAAGACACACACCCAGATTGACTATAAATCTAAGCCCTAGTGTAAAGCTGTCCACCTCTTGGTTGGGAAAAATTCAACCTATTGGACAATGCCACACAAAGTTGCAGTTCTACTGCTGTTGGCTAAGCCTGGGAAAAGATGCATAAGGAAGTTCAGTTTCTCTTGAAAAGGACTTTGGGGAAGAGAGCTACTATTAGCAATATTGTTTGGTTTATCCTCAGTAATCTTTTTTTTTATTCTTATGTTTTTTTCTAAGACATTTCTTTGCTTGCGATCCTCAGTAATCTCTGTGAAGTTTTTCTATAGATAGTGAGTGGTTGAGGATTTTGGTGGCTCCAGAATCCATGAAGCAGAAGCCGCTTACTAGTGATGGAAGCCTCTAAAGAATAGGTCTGATTTGAAATGGACCCCTCCTCATGTTTCATCTTTTACCTTCTCCTTTTGTGGATATGTGAAATATTCCCATGTAGCTTGAGTTCATCCAGTAGGAAGGGAGTGACCCAGGATCTTTAGGGCTTAACTTGTCTGACATACTTCTTAGATGGTGGCTCAGTAATGTTTGGAGTCTCCCTCAAAATTGGCTGGCTCACGCCTGTAATCCTAGCACTCTGGGAAGCCGAGGCGGGAGGATTGCTTGAGCTCAGGAGTTCGAAGCCAGCCTGAGCTAGAGTGAGACCCCTTTTGTACTAAAAATAGAAAAAAAAATAAGCCACACAACTAAAAATAGAAACAAAAAATTAGCCAGGTGTGGTGGCTCGCACCTGTAGTCCCAGCTACTGGGGAGGCTGAGGCAAAAGGATCACCTGAGCCCAGGAGTTTGAGGTTGCTGTGAGCTAGGCTGATGCCACAGCACTGTAACCTGGATTACAGAGTGAGACTCTGTCTCCAAAAACAAACAAAATTCCCTAATCTTGGCCATTTCCTTAAGTTGCCATCAACTGGCAAGAAGCTATCAACAATTTAGGGTTATAGAAGCAAAAGCAACAGATGAATAAGAACACTTGTTACTTTTTGAGGTGTGAAATGGTCAAATTCTAGACCTCAAAGAGTAATAGTAATTGCAAAAGGGTCTTTGACAACATGTGAAATTAATTGTTATTAATACTAACCGGCAAACTACTAAGGAAATTAAGGGAAACGACAGTAATTCCATATTCCTGAGCCATTCTCTTGTTGTTTTTCATACCTGGCTAGTATACTTTTTTTTTTTTTTTTTTTTTTTTTTTTTGGAGACAAAGTCTCGCTCTGTTGCTCGGGTTAGTGTGTTGTGGCGTCAGCCTAGCTCAGAGCAACCTCAAACTCCTGAACTCAAGCAATCCGACTGCCTCAGCCTCCCGAGTAGCTGGGACTACAGGCATGCGCCACCATGCCTGGCTAATTTTTTCTATATATATATTAGTTGGCCAATTAATTTCTTTCTATTTTTAGTAGAGATGGGGTCTCCCTTTTGCTCAGGCTGGTCTCGAACTCCTCAGCTCAAACACTCCGCCCACCTCAGCCTCCCAGAGTGCTAGCATTACAGGTGTGA